CAGCCGGACGGCAAACTTTGCACATGCAAGTTGTCTGCAGCGAAGGCGAATTGGCAGGAACTTTGCACCCCTCCCTGCTACCCAACTACACCATCTCCTAGTTAGTTCTGAAGATACCTGGAGGAAACTGGAGTGGTAAGTTTCTCTTGATCTTCATCTCTGCTAGGGCAATAATGGCTGCGGGCGCAAGAGGCAGGGACGATGGGGGTGCTGCAGGCAGGGGTGTGAGGGGCGGCAGCGGCCGGCTGCTCCCCCATGCTGTGGGAGCCGCGGGGCTCTCTCTACACGGGGCTGCGCAGGATGGGCGGTGGTGCTGGCGGGGTGCCTGCAGGCGGGGTGTGTTGACGGCGGGCTGCCCCCTGGGGCCAGCGCAGCTGATGCTTTGGGAGCCGCAGGGCCCACTCTACACGGCGGGGCAGCGGTGCTGGCGTGGTGGCTGCGGGCAGGGGCATGGTGGGCGGTTGACCTTCCATGTGCCGGGCCAGCTTTTACGATATTTTTTTCTTCAAATTTATGTGTCCTCCTTTTCATTGTAAAAAAGTTGGTCACCTTAAAATTAAAGTAGTTATTTTTATGGAATATTAAACCTTTTTATGTTTGAACAGGATAATAATGTATTTGGTTTCAAAAAGATTATTTTTACTAACAATCAACTATTTTCTTATTATTTGCCATTTATTTTTGTTAACAGATTAATAACCTCTCTGTCCTGTTCTGCCATTTTCTTTTTTCCCTCAGCAAAAGATGATCTCTACATTCATCTTGGGATACTGCATTACACTGATTTTCTGCCTTTAGCATTATCTCTGTGTATGTGTACATCAAATAAAAAAGCAGGTGTGACAGCTAATTTAAAAGATAAATTGTGATAATAAATGTTAGTGTTACAGGGAAATTTAAAAAACAGAATCATTGCACCAGATAGAAGAAAATGCTTATATGTTGAAGAATGTCAGCGTTAATAGGGCTATTTTTATTGATCCCCTTCAGAGAATAAAATCTTTTATAGATGTGGAGACTGTTACACATAAGAAACATAGGTTTCAAATATTTATTTGCAGGATTGACAGCCTGTCATCAGTGCATGGGACACAATAAATAAAATAAATATTAAATAAGGAAAAAAGTATCCAAAATGCAGAATTGTTGGGAACACACACAAATAAAAATAAAAGACTCAGTATTCACCAGTTACCTACAAATATGGAACTGGCAAAACCACATCATTCAAACTAGCTACAATTACTAAGAAGTTCAAGTCTTTCTATGGATACAAGACAACCCTTTGGATAATAAAGAACATGATTCAATAACACAAACCAGTGTTGTAATGCCACTCAGTTCACTGCAAGTGATTGAGCCCCAACAAATCCTGTACATTCCTGAAAGCTAGAGAACCAGGCTATTCTCAAGCCATGCAGCTGTTTAAAGCATTCATACATTGGCAAGAGGTTTTTTTTTTTTTTGTAGGCTGCAGTCACAAAGCGCCATCAGATACCCAACCTTACTGATGGCTCTTTAACACCTTACAACATATCTACATTTTTCTGGGATAATCTCTGCTACTTGAAAAAAACTCATATATGACATTAGATCCCCAAGACCACATACAAAAAGCAAAACAGGGAGGCTGGTGGTGTCCATTTTGCATCCAACCTATTTGCATTTCAGAAGTTATGTTGTGAAAATCGAACCCATGAACGAATGCTAGCTTGATGTCATTAAGCGGGTCTTAAAAAGGAATTAATAAAATATTTAAATGACTTATTAAACTATCTGTTAAGTGACATTTCTTGAATCAAGGCCACATCTAGAAACCCAAGACGTTTCAGGGTACAAGTTACTAAGCAGCTAAATTTTTCCCCGATGAAAAATTGCAACAGAATTATGATCAAGCTGCAATCGTAAATATTTTTCATGGCAGTAATTTGCACTGAAATCCATTACATTTGAGAGTACACTGCTGAGGACTGGAGTAAATTTTTCACTGCTTGATCCTTCAGGTATCGTCTGGAAAAATTCTGCAACTTGTTCACCTGATCACAAACACGCTAACAGAACAGGAGAGCTACATAACTAGTTTTCCACCAAGTGACACATAAGCACCCAGGGTTTGGGTTTTGTCTGCCAGGGACTACAAAAATTGACTAGCCAGAGTGCTGTCAAACATCTGCCAAATTACATAACATGGTGGGTGAGCTATGTTTGGCTTAGGAGACAACATGCTATGCAACTCTCTAAGGCAACATTGAAGAGCTCCAATAAAATTAGAGGCGGTTACTTCTAATTGCTTGGAATGAGATTCACTGGAGGAAACACAAACTGATTCCATATGCAACAATCACAATAACAATGGATTTCTACCTCAATGAGTCTATAGGTAGGAAGGGCAAGTCTTGAAGCATGCAAATATCCTACCACTTAATGCTGTTCATATTGCAATGGAGGCACCGGGGCAAAATAACGGCCACCAGATTGAGCCTTAAAATACGTTCCTCTAGTCACCAAATAGAAGTTTTGTCAAAACATGACAGGAGATGGGAAACACGCTTCATTTTCTCAGCAGGCTAGAAGGCTCATTACAGTATTAGTTTTCTCAAATCAAAACCAACCATTGCTCTGCTGAGCTACACAAGAGACAAATCTACTCACTGTGATTTAAATGTGAACTAAGCCAAAGCAAAAGCACTCCTGTTCTCTGCAGCAGGCTACTAATGACTATCAGTCTATCAAACCTGCAGTTTGATTCAGCTCAAGATGTCCAAATTCCTTTAAGAATTCTGTAACTGGAAATCCTTTTTCAGTCTCCCCAATAAATAAAGAGGGGAGAAAAAAAAGAAAAAAAGGCAATTAATTCCAGCCTTTGTACAAAAAATGAGGATATTTGCCAAGAACTGGCATTCTCCTGTGGTAAAATGCAGTGCTTCACAGACCTGCAAAGGCGGTAAATGAGAGGATTTATTGTTACTTTTTCATCAAACGATTGCTAAAAGAGGCAGTTGCTAAATGGGGACTACCTGTATTTTATTTGAGAGCTCTTGGTCAGAAAAAAATTAGGAGGAACAGTATATATTCCAGACAATGTGGTTCACAGTCCCCAGATGCTGCTTAGCCAGGCTGCTTATTGGACAGATTTAAAATGGAGCTAAATTCATTTCGGATTGGTCTACCAGATACTCTTACCCTTGACTGCTATATCTAGTCCCTCATTCAGAGACAGTATCTCCCTGAATGCAGAGGAACAGTGGAAAAGTGCTATTCATTTCATGAGAAATGATATGATTAGGCCCAAAGTATACGACAGTGGTGGCGAACCTATGGCATGCGTGCCAGAGGCGGCACTCGGAGCCCTCTCTGTGGGCACATGTGCTGTTGCCCCAGCCTCGCCTCCCCCCACGACCCCCTCACCAGCAGCCCCCCTGGAGGAGTCGCCCCCGAGCATGGCCCACACAGAGCAGCGCAGCCAAGGACATGGCAGCCAGGCAGTGTAGACAAGAGTCTGTCCTCATGCCCCATCCCGCACAGTTGATGCTGCGGGGCGTGGCCAGAGGGCGTGGCCATGGCGCTGCTGGGCTGCCTGGGCGATCTGTGGCGAGCCCTGGAGGCGGTGAGTGCAGGCAGGGTGGGGGATGGGGTGGGGGCGGGCAGGGGTGGGGCAGGGGGTGGAGCGGGGGCAGGGCCAGTTTTGGGGCACTCGGTCTCTAAAAGGTTCGCCATCACTGGTATATGATCTGCATATACCTTAAACCTAATCTTGCAGAACACTTTTTTTTATTCATAACTGAGAACCTTGCTGGTTCCATACTTCATATCTAAATACAAATTTATCTTCTAGGAGGAACATTACTATGCCACTGCCTGAAATAAAAAAAAAACTAAACAGAACAAACGGTTTCCTGTGGGTAAACAACTTCTCAAACACACAAGTAAAATGGCTGACATAACAATGGCAACACATACAACACACGTTCCGATTGCACATATTAACCGTTCCCTTACTTCCCTGATAATTACTGGTATAAATATTTCTGAATAGTAATTCAGAACTGTATCCAACCCTGAGAAAAATGTCCATGACCAGCACACACCACCCCATGGAAGGCCCCTAGTACTTTTAGTCCCTGCATGTTCTTTTAACATAAAACATGCCCAAGACCCCTTTGCATAACTCTGGATTGAAGCCTGCAATCATATACACCTTTACTTGGGAGTTTGCGTACTGCTGAATACATATACTATGCGTAGTCCAATTGGATCGATTAGAATTATTCCTCCCCCCCATTTGCACAGACAACCAAGCCAGATCTCTCTTCATCTTATCCCCACAACTGCCACTCATAGAGGGAGGTTGGGCTGAGAGAAATTGACCCAAAATTACCCAATGAGCTTCCAAGGCAGAGCGTGAACCTGAAACTTGAATTTCCTTAGTCTTCACCCAACATCTTAACCTCTATATCGCTTTACTGATCTATGCCCATACAGGCTAAGAGTGATCATCTCACTCTTTACACAGCAACCTTAGAATACGCAGTAATCATTTTGCTGATGTGGGTTTTACTGCCCTTATGTAAGCTGTATCAGTTGCCTGGAAAGACCGAGAAACTGAAACAGAAGGAAAGACGGGCAGATTACAAGATTACAGTTACAAAACCAGCCAAAAGAAAAATGTATTCAACACAACAAGTCAGGATGATAAGGAACCTTGAAGGTAGATTGCATATGTCACAGGGAAGATTCGCGGACAGACTCGGAATCTCCTTCGGCAAAGCCAGCCATTAAATCAAAAGACGCCCTCAGCCATTGTCCCTTCTCTCCAAATAATCCCTTTTCCCTCAGACTGCGTTAAGTGCCCTGCTTCTCCTTTCCCCAATCCACCTAGATAGGCAACCCTACATTCTCTGAAGAAACATAATAGTTGGGAAATGTGGGAGAATAGAAGAGCTGAAAATGCTAGTGCAAAAAAAGGTGCTTCCAAGTCAGCCAAGAGGCATCTCCAAACATTACAGCTCTACATGCACATTGCTGTAGGATTTGTCCACAGTCCATTCGCTTTGGTCCTCGTTTTCACTGTTGATGTATCGAGCCATTTCCTCCTGGAACTGGAGCTGTCGCCTTTTATTGGGATCAACGTTAATCCAGTTGTTGGCAATCCACTTGGTTCCTTCAGTGACCAGACAGCCTCCATGTAAGGAATATTCATCAACATCGCCAACCCAGCCTGCAGAGAAACAAATATTCCAGGGATCACCTTCACATAACTGCAGCTCAATCTTTTCTGCAGCTCTAAGCTTTCCAAAATAGCCAACAAAGGATTAAATAAAAGCCAGGCGGTGTCATCTTGTAGGGGAGTTGGGCGGCATAAAAATCTAATCAATAAATGAAATAAATAAAAATACGAAGATTCGTATCGGGTTTGCCTCAGGAAGAAACTTACCTTCCCCATCGGGCAGGTAATTATACCAGAAAATGGCAGTGCCTTGCAGAGGTTTCACACGTAGATTTCCCTTATCACAATGCTTTCGAGTATCACGTAGGTCAACGTCATTCTGGATTAGAGACTGAAGAAAGAGTGCTCATTAGGGAATGTATAGAAAGGATGTTCGTCGGGGAATCTATAAAAGGACCTCTTCCATTGCCATTATACATTCCACCTTATATAGAGATCTCCCATTAAAACAGCAATAAACATCTCATGATATTTTAACTAAGTCCATAGTGTTGAATTAGCTTAGCAATTAAAACTTTTTAACTAAATAAAAAGGTCCTAATTTATTGGCCAGCAGCCTTTTTTTTCTTACTTCTACTAACGTAGGCTAAGCCTCTTGCTTCAAAACACGCCCAAATAAAATTTAAACAGCTGACTTCCAATACCCTGTTTTGCATGGTTATTCAGAATAAATACCTCTAACTCTCCAGTGGAGAATTCCTGGTAACTTACTGGAATTGCAAATTAAGGTTAGTTTAGATCTCTGTAATTTTTTGTGTGATTTTAATCTGTTGTAAACTGCTCTGGGACAATACTTATGGGAAAAATGTTCCCTCTTGCCTAAAGAAGCAGCAGGGGTGACTAAAAAACCTTTTTTTTTAATCTGGGAAGTAAGGTGAATCTTAAACATTTCATTTTTAGGAAAAGTGATTGAAAAAGAACTCAGTTGCATCTGATTAATATATATTATCTACTGTATTTCAATTGTGCTTTTGGCTGGGATATGTGGTACTAAGACTGTTTTGGCTAGATAATTCCGGAAACTTGTAGCAGCTTTCAATGCCATCAATGTTACCCTTCTGTGGGATTACACATCGGGGACATAGTTTTACGGTGGTTCTATTCCTTCCTATTAGGCCATGTTCTAAAACTGAGGCTATGGATCTCTCAACTGACTTTTGCTGTCTGACTGGATTCCATCTTGTTCCCATACTGCTTCCTATCTATATGAAGCTGCTCAGTTGCACTGCTTTGAAAGCACAAGTCTGTCCTGGGAGTGATTCCTGATCCCCAACTGATGGCTAGGATGAGAAGCGCATCTACCGTATATAATTACAGCCATGGTCCAGTTGCTATTGTTCCTCAGCCAACTGGCTTGGCAATTTTGATCTATCTTATCTTTTGCAATATTCTCTACAACGGGTTATCCTTAAAAAGCATCTGCCAGTTGCATTTACTATAAAATACTGTAGCTGGTCTGCTGTTCTTATACTGAAAAATGTGCAATTACAGAGTGTCATTTATAGCTATGCCATTCACTTTTAAAGCACTAAAATGCTGAGAGCTTGATTATTTAGGGCAGAGGTTCCCAACCCCTAGTCTCTGGACCGGTACCGTGCCGCGGCATGCCAACAACCGGTCCGCACACAAAACCACAGACTCTCCGGTCCATGGTAAAACCTTTCTCCACAGAACCGGTCCCTGGTGCCCAAAAGGTTGGGGACCTTTGATCTAGGGAGCATCTTTCCTATTTCCAATGTGTCCGACAGAAGAGTTTTACAGAAGAGGCTTTTCTGTGTCTATCTGTACAGAAAGGAATGGTTTGGATTTGAGTTTTTTATTTTATTTATTGAATTTTATTGTTATTTTTTTCTTTGAGAACTTAACTGAGTAGAAATATGAAATATAAGCCCAACGAATAAGTAACTTTTTATAGAAACAGCCAATACACACTGCACAGGAAAGACAAACCTACCAACTCTTCGTAAGTCCTGTTATCTGCAATAGGAAAAGTAGTTTCGCCTCCTCCCGTCACATTGTTTAGGTAGAACAGTACTGTCACATAGCTGTAAGAGAGAGAACAATATTTGCTATCCTAAAAGCAACACACAATCCCTGTTACAAGGTAGCCAGGAAACCCATTCGGTCTTCAGTTTCTAGGCTTACCGGCAAGATGTCTCAAACGGAGCGCTTTCGTTGGCAATCAGTTTGGTGTGACTACAGGCAGTTTCAGGAAACACTGGTCCACTATCCATATGAGCATGGTAATGTCCTCCCTGGTCATAGCGGACGACCTGCATCGGTTCGCTGTGCTCCACAATCTCTGGCGACAGATGGGTTAAGTTAATTACCCTGAAGATAGACAAGCAGAGAGGCAGGCTGGCGTGAAAAGGTGCCCACAAATATTCCCATTCAAGCCACTCAGATTCCCTTAGCCAGTATCAGACCATCAAGATTACTTCGAGCATTTGTAAAGGGCTTCTTAATAATTATTCAAAAAGGGTCAAGCTGGTGGAGGCAGAGTTGTTTCAAAAAACATTCTGTTCACAATGCTGGCCCCGATCATCTGCATCCGTTCCCATACAAAAAAAGGAGTGTACAAAAAATCTTGCTTAAGACACTAATAATAATAATAATGATGATGATGATGATAAAGTTGGAAGGGACCTTGGAGGTCATCTAGTCCAACCCCCTGCTCAGGCAGGAAACCCTATACCATTTCAGACAAATGGCTGTCCAGTCTCTTCTTAAAAACTTCCAGTGTTGGCGCATTCACTGCTTCTGGAGGCAGGTTGTTCCACTGGTTAATGGAACATAGAAACTCATGAAGAAATAAGGAAGAATTTAAACTATTCAGAAAGAATCATGGGAAAAAAAATAACACAGAGGGAGATCTATTCATGTTGCAATTCTAAACACACTGGTTAAAAACATTTCGGTAAACATGCTTAACGCCATCTAGCCATTCTGTAAGAGTGGTAAGACAAATAGTCTGAAACAAAGAGGATCTGCAGTAGAGCTATAGCAAGAACATTTTCTGACAAAGTGATTCTGATTCACCTCACAATTGTTATTTTTAAGCAAGAGCAAATCATGCTGAACATATGCAGGTTTTTCTGGCTTGGCATTTTAAGATTTTGTTGCACTTTTTGCATATGATGCTGGTAGAGGAAATCAGGAACCCAAGGAAGATGTGAGTCAGCGAGAGTTACTACAAGTCAACATAAATTTGTTTTTAAGTATTTTTTTATATGTATCTTCAAAAGAGCAAAGAATAAACCCGGATTCTCAAACATTGGCTGGTAGGCTGCATGCAGTCCCTGCTGAATTATTTTATGTGGCCTGTGATAAAAAAAATTAAGGCAGAGCCTGTCCTGCCTTGTTGTCTTGTCTTGTTGAAGGACATTGCACTTTATGTGATGGCCCTGAACAGATGCAGAAGAATCACTGCTAATGACATCACCATTTGTCATCATGCCAGGGTGTGCACAGAACAACAAAACAGTATGATAAGGGACAATAGATAGATTGGACATTACAGCCACACATATAATCCATTTGAGATAAGCAGCTATACAAGTCTGATCCATCAATCAGTAATATAATAATGCTGATTTACAGTTGGAAACATATTTTTGCTTTTATTAACTTTCAATAAAGTCAAGTATTTTATATTATTATAAATTATTGTAAGTTTTGTATTAACTTAGTCATACATTTTATTAACATTAATATTTGTTGCATTTTTGCATATGCATAAATGTGCCACACCACTTTCCACATTTTATATTATGTGGTCTAATATTCATTTGAGTTTGAGACACCTAGTATAAAGATATTAGATTTAAATGACAATATCAGAATAATCTAAAACTCATTTTACTCAAGAATTAATAAAACTGAGCAAAAGAGCTGTAAATACTAATCAATCTCTTTCTCTGTTTCACCTGAATAAGTATGGGTCACTCTTTCCAAAGCTTTTTTTTTTTCCTAACTCAAATATTCAAAACAAAGATAAAGGAAAATGTACATTTTAAGTAGTAAAATTTATTAGGAAAATTCTGTTTATAAACATAGTGACCAGTTTTAATTAAAACCTGTCCTTTTGAAATTCTACCCTCTATGCCGTTGCCTCAAGTTTTCAGCAAATACAATTTCTCACATTTTACCGTATTTTTCCGTGTATAAGACGCTATTTCCCCCCCCCGTTCAAAAATCAGGTGCGTCTTATACAAGTGCAGCGTCTTATACACGGAAAAATAATGGTAACCTCCGCAGCCCAGGGCATGCCTGTGTGGGTTGCCATGCCGCCTGGTGCAGGTGTCAAGCTCCTGTGGGCTTGCCACTAACGGGAGGGGGGAGGGGGCAAGATCGTTGACCAGCCGAACTTCCGGATTTGCCGGCTCAGCTGTTTGGCGGCTGATCAGCGCGGAGAAACTCGCATGCCAGAGTGTCTTATACAAGGGTGCGTCTTATAGATGGAAAAATACGGGATATATCACTAACCAACAAAATGCCATTTAGATTTCTAGTGCTTTGCAAAGTAGCTGCATTAAGTGCACTGGTTTATGCATTTTGGCAAAACCGATCAGCAAGCCAACAGCAAGGCTAATTGCTAAAAATTGCTGAGTGAGATAAATTTACCTTTGCCGTATGGAGCGCATGACCTGATGTGCCCCCTCACCTTGGTACAGCCATGTATGTTGGCTGTTCCTCACCAGATCGCTCATTTTCACTTTTCGGCTACCCATGTACTTGTGAAAGTCTCGAATGTTCAATTGTTTAAATTCTTCCAAACTCAGAACACCTGGGTAAAATGAAGGAAAAGAACATATGTGCCCATGTCAGGCCAGAAACTGATCAGTGTAAACATGATGTCAGGAGGTATGTCGCATCAGAACCACAGGAACCAACCTTCTCTGATGATCCCTATGAGATTTACTTTAACTGGGCAACTCTAACATACGTGGAGGGGAAGGGCTATTGAATAGTAGGAATGTTTATCTATATAAAATTAATAAAAGGCACAGTATTAGCAAACAAAAAGCCGTGGGGGTGGGAGAGCAGAAATTCAAAAAAGAGAATGCAAGTAAAAATACAACATTTGAAGTTAAAATATCACAGAGAAGAATGATTCTCTGGCTTTTAAACAGGTGTCAGTACCTAAAGGCAGAGGTATCATTTGGGGTAGAAGTAAGATAAGATATAAGATAACCTTTATTGTCATTTGTTTACTGTTAAGAGTTGCAAGGTGTCCACTTTTTGAGTGGACAGTCCACTTTTTTCACATTATGTTCACTATTTTTTTTCACAAAATAGTGGACATTTTTTTTATTCAAAAGCTTTATGATGAAATGGTACGTAATCTAAAGCTGTACAGTCTACTTTTTTTACTACTTAACCCCGCCACCCCGCTTGTCCGCTATTTTTTGGAAGCAGACCTGGCAACCCTATTTACTGTGGGCACATTGGCACACATTAAAAATGAAATTTAGTTGCTTCCTCTCAAAAGTGTACACATACATAACACACATTTAAACATGCTACATACAATATATGTATAAACCTTCACCTTTACATATAAATAACATATAAATATTAATCACTGACCATCTTGACTACAGTACATAGCGGAAAGAGGAAGCTTTAGAGTTCACAAGATTGGAATGAAACTATGACTGGATCTGGATGTTCTGCTTCGGATACCACACAGCAGTGCTTAAAAAGTAAAGTTGGTGTTTGCCACGGTCTGATTGGCCATAAAATTAAATGTAAGTTGCTTTATATTCACTGAAATGCTTGTTGATTGTTACAACTTTGGCTGTTTTTGTTAAACCTCTGATTTGATCCTAATATTAATACTAAACTGTGATATGACTATTTTTATATTTGTTCCAATCTAATGTGACAGAATAATAGGGATGAGAACAATGCTACACAGTGCATTAAAAAGCCTTCTGTCTTACCATTACCATCGGGGTCTGCTTTGACTGCGGCATACATTTCCCGGAGGCTCTCAGGTGTCATCCACCTACCATTTCCCAGGCGGGTATGTGTCAGCACCTGCAATTGGAACACAGTGCAGAGAGATGACCTTACCATTAAAGACGAGTTATGTATATAATCAGGAAGCATTAGTAGAATCCACTAATTCAAAAATTAACTGGCAAATGCTATTAACAGATAATCAATGAAGCACCCATATTTCTGGTTGCACTGGATCCCAGCATATACAATGGGCCACCAGATTTTTTAGACAGGAACAAACTTTTCTCTAGTTATTTGTTTTATTTGGAGTTTTGTCCTCATATATGTGTCAATGATGCAACATGCAGAATTGTACCGGGATGTTAAAACACGATAGTTAAGGTCTGATAATTCAAAATGTTTAATATTCTCACAGTATGACTTCATTCAGATATAAGACTAACTCATTATTTTTCATTACAGATGCAAGCCGCAGGATCTTACACTTCCCCATCTCCTTTTTTTTGTCCTCTATTGGCATAGCCACAAAAAGCAAAACTGGAAATTATGCCTCTGTTTTTAACTAACCACAGTTTCTCCTTACATTCAGACTAGGAAGTGATTGGTTTATCCAAATAAAAGGGAGAATGTATCATATATTAAAGTTGGCTTGTTAGAACAAACAGTAGTTAAAACAAAGTGCAGTTTATCCAAGTTCAAATGTAATTACAAACTTTTACAAATATATTTAATTTTCTCATCTTAACAGTGCAGGGGTATGAGCCAGCCCAAGGCTCTCAGTCCTTTTCTTACAGGACTTGATTCAGGGCTATACCTGAATGAGGTTGATATTTCCCAGTTAATAGCCAATCATTCCATTCTGAATACCTCCTTAAGTTGCAGTTGTCCATCCTGGTTGTGATCTAGCAGATTAAAGATATCCATCTGGCTGATATCTATCATTTCCATAGCTTCTTCGTAATCTTCTGTGGGCAAAATCTGGCTTTTCTGTAGGCCTTTCAGCTGAGCCAAATGTATAATTAATTTACATTCATCTTCACTCAGGAAATCTGGGATTTCTAACATGGAAGAAAGGCAGAAGAAAATGATTTTCCCATCCAAAGGCGAACATTGAAAAATCCAAAGCTACTTAAATGCCAGTGTTGATGTTTAAGATGATTTATGAAGCAGGAAATAGTTAGGTCCAAATATTCCACAGTTATGAAGCAAGAAACTAATACAGTGGTGGCGAACCTATGGCACGGGTGCCAGAGGCGGCACTCAGAGCCCTCTCTGTGGGCACTCGCGCCGTCGCCCCAGTCCTAGGCCTTCAGCTGGGTTTTATAAAACCTTTTCGCTTTAGACCTCCGCCGCCATGTGCAAAAAAAAAAGGTTCAATCAGTCAATTTCAACTTCTCGCAGGAAAAAAAAAGTTCTTGCAAAGTTGGAATTGATTGATTGAACTTTTTAGTCCCACCCAGTTTGCCGTTACCACTGCAGCCATGCCACCCAATGGGCCACGCCTACCCAATGGGCCACACCCAGCCAATGGGCCACACCCACCCAGCACTCGATGATGCATAAGTGGGTTTTGGGTTGCAGTTTGGGCACTCGGTCTCTAAAACGTTCGCCATCACTGAACTAATATCTCGGTAATATCCAATCCTAAAAAAAGGTATTTTGCCTAAATATCTGTGAACAAACCAGAAAAATAGATCACACTAAGGCTAAGCCATAAACTATGATTTATGATACAAGTTTAGGCTCAGCCTTTCATTTGAGCCAGCAGAGCTCAGAAACTGTTACCTGCTTCACAAGAAATAAAAATAGCAACGAGTACAATTGAAGAAAACACACTTCTCTTAGAGGACCATTGTTCCTTAACTTTCCTGCCCTCTATTGATTAAATAAATTTGTAATGAGGAAAACAACAAGCAATCTACTGTTAAGTTTTAAAAGGCTTTCATTGAACTGCACTGAGAGGGCAATGTTTTCAATAAAGACCAGGGATAAAACTCACAAGTTAATTTCCTGCCAAAATAAGATGCATACCACTATCCACAATTAATTTTCTGTTTCATGCTTAAAATAGAAATCTTGCAAATTACATCCTATAAGCAAATAAAACTTCCAAGTTCACACCCAAACTCTGCTAACTAGTTCACAAAGCTCTGGCAATCAAAACTCCAACGCTTGATCCAGCTAAACAAATGTCTCTGAATTAATATTGTTTTTCCTCTAAACAAAGAGAGAGGAAAAACGGTGGTTTTAAAAATGATTAGGCAGGCAAACAACACAATGACTCAATCAGAACTCTAACATATTCAGGTGGGCATCATTCAAGATAATTTGACTGCCCTCATTTCAACACTTGTTAAGTCTAGGCCAGGGGTAGGCAACCTTGGCTCTTTTATGACTCGTGGACTTCAACTCCCAGAATTCCTGAGCCAGCACAGGAATTCTGGGAGTTGAAGTCCACGAGTCATAAAAGAGCCAAGGTTGCCTACCCCTGGTCTAGGCCTACCTATGTTATGTAGTAAGATTGCCAATATTCTCCATCCGGAAATCATCTAGAATTGCCTAAAGGAAAGCAGAATTCATTTCATCTTATTTCACTGAGGAGTACATTCAAGGAATCAACGAAAACTGCATATCTCCAACATTTGAGCAGATACCAACAAGTTTTCTCTCGACTGGCAGGGTCTAGGACAGGGGTAGGCAACCTTGGCTCTTTTATGACTCGTGGACTTCAACTCCCAGAATTCCTGAGCCAGCCATGCTGAGGGGAAAGGGAGAGGTTTCCAAGCTGAGCCATGCTGGCTCAGGAATTCTGGGAGTTGAAGTCCACGAGTCATAAAAGAGCCAAGGTTGCCTAGCCCTGATCTAGGAGGGCCTTCTTTACCGATGTCCCTGCATTGTGGAACACCCTGCCCTCAGAGGTGAGGAAAGCCTCCAGTCTTTTGTCCTTCCACAAAAGGGTTAAAACTTGGCTGTGGGGCCAGCATGGGGGTCACAGAGGCTCACACAACCCATGGGGCTGGGTGGCTCCATGAGAAAACCCCCGCCTGCATTAACAACTGCTAACATTCCATCTTGGAATTCTTTACCTTTTGTAATTTTATAATGTTATTTTTATAATTTTAAAACTTTTTAATCTTAAATTAATTCTGATTTTTATGATAATTTTATTGATTATATTGTACACTGCTCAGAGCCCTTCTCTGAGGGAGATGGGCAGTTAGGAAATATGAAATTTACATCAAAAAATATTCACGGGTTATTTGCAAATTTGGGACATTCTGGGAAGTTTTTGCACACTACTGAATCTCTTCCAGATTCCTAAACTGCTCAATCATGAAATCACAACTGAAATCTACAAACTGTTTGTGTGGTGATAGAAATATGACAAACGTTGGACCCAAACTGCTTAGAAGGAACCACAATGACTCTCTATTTCTTGGCATCATCTCAAGCTTCTACCTTTAATTAGTTTTCTTTTGCTCAATTAGTTTTCTTTTGCTCAAATATTATTTTGTATTTTACACAGACTCAAATATTGTACCTAAAAGGAAATCTTTCTAAAATTCACAAATTATAAATATTATGCATTTAGAAACTAATGCTAACTATGCATGTGCTTTAAAAAGTTATTTTAAAATAAACAAGAACACTTAGTTTCTCACTATATTTTCCATTTTAATAAACCTGAGGGAATGAATTTAGCAATATGTAGAGATGTTAAAATAAGTGGAGGAACAAATAAAGGCAACGCCATCAGTTAACTTATTCAAGAAGATGTGGCTGATGCCTTCTGAAAAAAAAAACTGCAGATTTTCAAGGTAGCATAAAATTGTAGTGAGGGAAGACTTTAATTACTCAGCTGAAATTGGGAAAACTTGTGGTTGATTACCTAAATGGACCCCTTCCATTATATGATTTATTGATATTATAGTATCTCTATGCCAATGTAAAGTAATGAGAGCTTTTGGGTATTAAAAGCATAATTTTCTAGTGAGGAAGTAGCCTTAGACAGGATTAGGGAAACAAGTTTTAGTAATCTTTGGAGAAGAATTTTAAAAAATAAGATTTTAATTTGTTTTTAACTGTGTATGCAAGATGAAAGGTTGCACAGGACAATGTTTAATTTCTATTAAACTATCTATGGAACTCTGAGGAGGAAAACATACCAATTGTACAGTTTCTTCAAAATATGTGTATGAGAGAAAGAAGAAAATAATATGTCAAGCCCTTATGGCAGCACACAATCTAGAAAGCAATTTTCTCAAAAAGTCAGAGTACATATTGGAAGAAACAAGGGGATAAGTTGCAGAATCTTGGAAACTGGCTCTACATTATTAACTTAGCCCTTGTTTATCAGTGAGTATGTTGAAGCAGGGCCTCTCTGTTGCATTTAATCTTTTTTTTTTTTTTAATGGAGGATGCAAATCACAAAATACTACAAAATATCAGTTTGTTGTTTTTTGCAGTAATTTCCAAAATATTATCAGGATCAAAGAATTCTACCATAAGATATAAATAAGGGCAAAATTAAATTTGTTCATTAGGAAGAGAAAGGTAATCTAACTGCATTCAAAGGTGCTTTTAGTATATTCCTATTGGCTATTAGAAATTATATTTGCCATCAGCTCCATCTAGGTCATGTGTGTCAAACTCACCGTGTCATGTGACGTGTCACGACATATCGTGACTTTTTTTGCATTGCCAGACCTGGGGTGGGTGCGGCCTCCGCATGATGCAACCAGTCCACGGTCTGGCAGTTTGACACTCCTGATCTAGGTTATACCCCTTTCAGTTCTTTTAATAAAACCATTCGTGAGGTACCATTTTAGACTCAATAAAACAATGATATACAATTGCTCTAACTCAGTGGTTCTCAACCTTTTTAATGCCGCGACCCCAACCGGTCGTAAGTCGAGGACTAAACCAGTCGTAAGTCGAGGATTAAACCGGTCGTAAGTCGAGGACTAAACCGGTCGTAAGTCGAGGACTACCCAACCGGTCGTAAGTCGAGGACTTTCCCTGCCCGGGAGTGCCGCGCATGCGTGGCTCCGCCCCCTGCGCCGGCCGAGGCGTAGCTGGCAAGCGGCAGAGACGGAACAGGCCGACCACCAGCTGGCCCAGCCCAAGGGAGGTAAGGCACCAGCCGGAAAAGGGGGAAAAAATGGCGGACAAAAAAAATGGCGGACAGCCTTGCTTGGCGACCCCCGTGAAATGGTCGATCGACCCCAAATGGGGTCCCGACCCACAGGTTGAGAACCACTGTTACTCAATCAGAACTCAACAAAAATGGATCTTTTTTTCTTTCATTTCCTTCTTATTAATGATAGGGAATAAGAACAATGTGTATGTAAGAAAAGGTCAGCAATTGCTCCTAACCTTCTCTTACACATAAAGTTAACTGGCTACAGAAATCTCTGTCTTCAGAGATTTGATGGAAAAACCTGGCAGGTGACATTTGAAACCAGGCTGGAAATTGCTGCAGCACCAAGACAGCTTTAGTTACTTTGAAGACCACAACTGACTCTCTATGACCAAGAGAAACAAAAGATAACCATGTCCTGGTTTTACCAAGGGCAAGCGGTTTATAAATATGCTAGACCGAAAGACAGATTGCTCTTATAATAATATACCTAGAACTTGGAATAGGATGTACAGATATATTTTAAAATAGCCTCTATTTCTTACCAAAAAGAAGTGGTTTCAAGCTGAGAGTTTTCATAACATGGATTTTGTTAGGAACCAGTTGCAACTTCTGTTTATGGCCCACCTTTAAAAGATAACAAAGTAATGAATTAACTGATTTAATCCTATATGTAGAATTATGTCACACACATGTTAAAAGAGTTATGGTTGTGATTCGGTCAAAAACTTTCACCTATGTATCAGCAAACTTTAAGCTTTCCAGGCAGGGCACAGTGATGATGTTGAGCAAGTAGCATGTTTAATTAAACTATAAAAGGATGTACAAACACCGGCATGCGTAAAAATAAGCATAAATTTAAACTCTTTTCACTGGATAAAATATCTGATAAAATATTACTGATGTAGGAATGAAGATGGAAATGAAATAAACAATATATATTTTTATCAATTTAGTTGATAATAATAGAGATAATGATGATAATGATGGTGATGATGATGATGATGATGATGATGATGATAATAATAATAATAATAATAATAATAATAATAATAATAATATAGAAGGGACTTTGGAGGTCATCTAGTCCTATCCCCTGCTCAGACAGGAAACCCTATACCATTTCAGACAAATGGCTGTCCAGTCTCTTCTTAAAAACTGTTGGAGCATTCACTGCTTCTGGAGGTAGGTTGTTCCACTGGTTAATTGTTCTAACTGTCAGGAAGTTTCTCCTTAGTTCTAGGTTGCTTCTCTCTTTGGTTAGTTTCCACCCGTTGCTTCTTGTCCTGCCTTCAGGCGCCTTGGAGAATAGCTTGACTCCCTCTTCTTTGTGGCAGCCCCTGAGATACTGGAACACTGCTATCATGTCCCCCCTCGTCCTTCTCTTCATTAAACTAGACATACCCAATTTCAGCAACCGTTCCTTATATGCTTTAGCCTCCAGTCCCCTAATAATCTTTGTTGCTCTTCTCTGTACTCTTTCTAGAGTCTCAACGTCTTTTTTACATCCTGGTAAAAAAGATTCATTGAACTGAATGGGAATTTAGTTTAAAATAAATGCACAAATTGCAAACATTTAACTAGTAGCCCTTAAAAAGGTAGCAAGGAAACAGTCCACCTTTTTTCTTAATAAAATCTGCAGTTGTACAAAGAACAAAATAAGCATCTAAAAGAATGTAAATAATTTTCTTCAGCACCTATTTCTGAAGATCCAGGTTACCATGTTAATCTTACTGTTTTTCTTAATACAAAAGATAAGGCAGCTATCCAGACTGGGATGGTGAGAGAATGTTCATACACTTATAGAAGATAATGTTAACTCCTCACTCCATTTTTTCAATTGAAATTGAAATTCCTCTCCACCACTGAGAAAGGGAGATGTTAAAAAAATCTGAAAAACTGATTTGGGGGGGGGGGGAAAGGATGTCAAGCATCCTTTTTAAAATAAGGATTACAGGTACTCCTCAATTTACGACCGAAATTGAGCCCAAAATTTTTGTTAAGTGAGACATTTGTTAAGTGAATTTTGTCCCATTTTACGACCTTCCTTGCCACAGTTGTGAAGTGAATCACCACAGTTCTTCCATTACTAACACGGTTGTTAAGTGAATCTGACTGGCCCATTGACTTTGCTTGTCCGAAGGTCGCAAAAGGTGATCACATGATCCCAGGACACTGCAATGGTCATAAATATGAGTCCGATGCCAAGCATCTGAATTTTGATCCTGTGACCACAGGATGCCACGGCAGTCATAACGATGAAAAACTGTCATAAGTCACATTTTTCAGTGCTGTTGTAACTTTGAACGGTCACCAAACGAACTGTCGTAAGTCGAGGATTACCTGTATATTATGCATATATTGGGATCAAAATGTGAGATGGCAAATCGATGACTACAGGAAATATCCAAGGAGGCTTTCTTCAAAGGGAGACCTGTCATAGGCGATAGTTTTAAGACTGCCAGCTTCTCCCATCGGTGTGACTGGAGACCAGGATGGAGGGATTGTTGTTGTTAGTTGCGAAGTCGTGTCCGACCCATCGCGAACCCATGAACCACGTTCCTCCAGGTCTTCCTGTCCTCTACCATCTTCTGGAGCCCATTTAAGTTCACGCCTCCTGCTTCAGTGACTCCATCCAGCCACCTCATTCTCTGTCGTCCCCTTCTTCTATTGCCCCCAATCTTTCCCAGCATCAGGCTCTTCTCCAGTGAGTCCTTCCTTCTCACTAGGTGGCCAAAGTACTTGAGTTTCAACCTCAGGATCTGGCCTTCTAAAGAGCAGTCGGGGTTGATCTCCTCTAGGACTGACCGGTTTGATCGCCTTGCAGTCCAGGGGACTCGCAGGAGTCTTCTCCAGCGCCATAGTTCAAAGGCCTCAATTCTTCGTCGCTCAGCCTTTCTTATGGTCCAACTCTCACAGCCATACATTGCAACTGGAGAAACTACGGCCTCGACTATACGCACTTTTGTGGGCAGGGTGACGTCTCTGCTTTTTAGTATGCTGTCTAGATTTGCCATAGCTTTCCTGATCCGCAGTGTTTCTCAACCTTGACAATTTTAAGGCATGTGGACTTCAACTCCCAGAATTCCACAGCCAGCATCGCTGGCTGTGGAATTCTGGGAGTTGAAGTCCACATGCCTTAAAATTGTCAAGGTTGAGAAACACTCTAAGGCAGTGGTTCTCAACCTGTGGGTCGGGACCCCATTTGGGGTCGATCGACCATTTCACGGGGGTCGCCAAGCAAGGCTGTCCGCCATTTTTTTTGTCTGCCATTTTTTCCCCCTTTTCCGGCGGGTGCCTTACCTCCCTTGGGCTGGGCCAGCTGGTGGTCGGCCTGCTCCGTCTCTGCCGCTTGCCAGCTACGCCTCGGCCGGCGCAGGGGGCGGAGCCACGCATGCGCGGTGCTCCTGGGCAGGGAAAGTCCTTGACTTACGACCGGTTGGGTAGTCCTCGACTTACGACCGGTTTAGTCCTCGACTTACGACCGGTTTAGTCCTCGACTTACGACCGGTTGGGGTCGCGGCATTAAAAAGGTTGAGAACCACTGAGTTCTCCGCCTGCTCTGTCTCTGCCACTTGCCAGCTATGCCTCGGCCGGCGCAGGGGGCGCAACCACGCATGCGCGGCGCTCCCGGGCAGGGAAAGTCCTCGACTTACGACCGGTTGGGTAGTCCTCGGCTTACGACCGGTTTAGTCCTCGACTTATGACCGGTTTAGTCCTCGACTTACGACCGGTTTAGTCCTTGACTTACGACCGGTTTAGTCCTCGACTTACGACCGGTTGGGTAGTCCTTGACTTACGACCGGTTTAGTCCTCGACTTACGATCGGTTTAGTCCTCGACTTACGACCGGTTGGGGTCGCGGCATTAAAAAGGTTGAGAACCACTGCTCTAAGGGATACAGAGTTCAAAGACAAGCGGCGACCTCACCCGAAGGGGAGACCGGGGACTCAGCCCTGCCCTCAAGGCTGCTGTTTCGGTGCAGACGCCTCACCGGAGGCCAGAGGAGACAGGGCCGCTCCGAGGTGGGGGACCGGCTTCTCCCCGCTTTTTGAAAACGTTCATTTCGAGCAAAAAACCGACAAAAGGAGTTCCTGAAAAAGCAGCCCCGATTCCCCCACCCCCCCACCCGCCCCCTTCGTCGCCCGCGGGAAAGCGCTTGCCTTAATGCCCTGCAGGCGAGGCAGAGCCTGAGGGTCCAAGTTGCCGGAAGAAACGGGCAGTACTACGGGCGCCTCCTGGACGGCGCCAGGAGGCTCTTTCCTCGGCTCCGGGTCCCCCCCGTCGTCGGAGCTGATGTGCACGAAAAGCAGCAAGCCCAGCACGTTGATNACTTTCCCTGCCCGGGAGTGCCGCGCATGCGTGGCTCCGCCCCCTGCGCCGGCCGAGGCGTAGCTGGCAAGCGGCAGAGACGGAACAGGCCGACCACCAGCTGGCCCAGCCCAAGGGAGGTAAGGCACCAGCCGGAAAAGGGGGAAAAAATGGCGGACAAAAAAAATGGCGGACAGCCTTGCTTGGCGACCCCCGTGAATGGTCGATCGACCCCAAATGGGGTCCCGACCCACAGGTTGAGAACCACTGTTACTCAATCAGAACTCAACAAAAATGGATCTTTTTTTCTTTCATTTCTTTCTTATTAATGATAGGGAATAAGAACAATGTGTATGTAAGAAAAGGTCAGCAATTGCTCCTAACCTTCTCTTACACATAAAGTTAACAGGCTACAGAAACCTCCGTCTTCAGAGATTTGATGGAAAAACCTGGCAGGTGACATTTGAAACACAAGCTGGAAATTGCTGCAGCACCAAGACAGCTTTAGTTACTTTGAAGACCACAACTGACTCTCTATGACCAAGAGAAACAAAAGATAACCATGTCCTGGTTTTACCAAGGGCAAGCGGTTTATAAATATGCTAGACCGAAAGACAGATTGCTCCTATAATAATATACCTAGAACTTGGAATAGGATGTACAGATATATTTTAAAATAGCCTCTATTTCTTACCAAAAAGAAGTGGTTTCAAGCTGAGAGTTTTCATAACATGGATTTTGTTAGGAACCAGTTGCAACTTCTGTTTATGGCCCACCTTTAAAAGATGACAAAGTAATGAATTAACTGCTTTAATCCTATATGTAGAATTATGTCACACACATGTTAAAAGAGTTATGGTTGTGATTCGGTCAAAAACTTTCACCTATGTATCAGCAAACTTTAAGCTTTCCAGGCAGGGCACAGTGATGATGTTGAGCAAGTAGCATGTTTAATTAAACTATAAAAGGATGTACAAACACCGGCATGCCTAAAATAAGCATAAATTTAAACTCTTTTCACTGGATAAAATATCTGATAAAATATTACTGATGTAAAAGTTTGTTAAGCATTGCCAGGAATGAAGATGGAAATGAAATAAACAATATATATTTTATCAATTTAGTTGATAATAATAGAGATAATAATGATAATGATGATAATGATGGTGATGATGATGATGATGATAATAATAACAACAACAACATAGAAGGGACTTTGGAGGTCATCTAGTCCAACCCCCTGCTCAGGCAGGAAACCCTATACCATTTTAGACAAATGGCTGTCCAGTCTCTTCTTAAAAACTTCCAGTGTTGGAGCCTTCACCACTTCTGGAGGCAGGTTGTTCCACTCAATAATTGTTCCAACTGTCAGGAAGTTTCTCCTTAGTTCTAGGTTGCTTCTCTCCTTGATTAGTTTCCATCCGTTGCTTCTTGTCCTGCCTTCAGGTGCTTTGGAGAATAGCTTGACTCCCTCTTCTTTGTGGCAGCCCCTGAGATACTGGAACACTGCTCTCATGTCCCCCCTCGTCCTTCTCTTCGTTAAACTAGACATACCCAATTCCAGCAACTGTTCCTTATATGTTTTAGCCTCCAGTCCCCTAATCATCTTTGTTGCTCTCCTCTGTACTCTTTCTAGAGTCTCAACATCTTTTTTACATCCTGGTAAAAAAGATTCATTGAACTGAATGGGAATTTAGTTTAAAATAAATTTTTCATTTCATTTTTCATTTTATTATATTTATACCCCGCCCTTCTCCCGTAGGACTCAGGGCGGCTTACAGCCAGTTAAAAACAGTTTAATACAATACAATACAAAGTTTTAAAAAATCATTAAAAATAAATATTTTAAATCGGCCGTTTCTACTAAAATTTGGCTAAAACCAATTTAAAATACCCCTAGGCCAGTCCTGCCCGCTGAAACAACCAGGTCTTAAGGGCGCGGCGGAAGGAGGGGAGATCCGGAATCACCCCGATCTCTGGGGGCAGCTCGTTCCAGAGGGTGGGTGCTCCGACAGAGAAGGCCCTTGCCCTGGGGGTCGCCAGCCGACACTGTCTGGCTGATGGCACCCTGATGAGGGCCTCTCTGTGGGAGCGTATCGGCCGGTGGGAGGCAATCTGTGGCAGAAGGCGGTCTCGGATATAACCAGGTCCAATGCCATGGCGCGCTTTAAAGATGATAATCAACACCTTGAAGCGCACTCGGAAGGCCACAGGCAGCCAGTGCAGCTTGCGCAGTAGCGGCGTTACGTGGGAGCAACGGGTCGCTCCCATCACCGCTCGCGCGGCCGCATTCTGGACTAACTGGAGCCTCCGAGTGCTCCTCAAGGGAAGCCCCATATAGAGAACATTACAGTAGTCCAGGCGGGAGGTGACAAGAGCATGGGTGACTGTGCGCAAGGCATCCCCGTCCAGAAAAGGCCGCAACTGGTGCACCAGGCGCACCCGGTAAAACGCCCCCCTGGCCACAGCCGTCAACTGGTCTTCCAGTGTCAGCCGTGGATCCAGGAGGACCCCCAAGTTGTGTACCCTCTCCGAGGGAGCCAAAGTTTCGCCCCCTATAGTCAGCGATGGAGTCAGCTGACCATACCTGGGAGCCGGCAACCACAGCCACTCAGTCTTGGAAGGGTTGAGCCTGAGTCTGTTTCT